CCCTGGGGGTTTTTAAGAGGAGGTTTGATGACCACCTTACTGGGGTCATTTGACCCTAGTGCTCTTCCTGCCATGGCAGGGGGTCGGACTAGATGATCTGCTCAGGTCCCTTCCAACCCTAGAAACTATGAAACTATGAAACTGGTTCAGAGAGTTTTTGTAGGCAATAGCATACTTTATCAGATGCTATACTTTCTCTGACTTCAGTGAAAATAGAGGAGCATTTAATATTTTTAAGATAAGGCCTCTGTATCCCAATGAATGGTTATGGGGGTAGGGTGAGGTGAACAGTTGTACTTGATCTGAGATCTTATTTTTCTTCAGGCAAATGCAGAAGGCATCCAAGGCAACTTAAGTGGTGACCTGCTGCAGAGTGGAGAAATGTTAGTGGTCAGTCAAGGTAAAATAAATATTCCTGTCTGTCAAAGCCCTAGGTATCTGACCATGTTCAGCTAAGGATGCTTGTACTTCTAGGTAACCTGCTAAGCTCTTTAGCATCCCAAATGTTTCTTTGCTTGGAGAAGGCTTATAAGCAACTTCATAGAATTTTGTCAAGGTGTCAAAGCAAGTGAGGGACAGGGTGGAATGGGAGGTAATACCTGCTAGCGGATCACGAATTACCTGAGCTCTTTTGGATGTACTGTACTTCTTTGTCATGGAGGGATGTTTTCATAGATTTCATAGACATTAGGACTGGAAGGGACCTTGGAAGATCATCGAGTCCAGCCCCCCTTCCTGCTAGGATTCTGGTTTTTATCACTGTTCTTTAATGGTGTCTTTCCTGGGACTAATGCACCCCAATAAATAAACTGGCAAATTGACCTTCCCAGATCATGAAAGCACCAACTCAGGAAGATTAAACCATTAAGACAGGCCTGTGGCCTGTGCAGGCATTCTTGCTTTTATGCTGTTGACAGTAGATGAAATGCAAAAGCATGCAGATAGACTGCGATCTCACAGCATTAGGCTTGGACGAAAAAGTCACTCCTGATTTAAACATGGTAACTTTATGTTGGACACAAGCTTAGTGCAGAGATTCACCAGGTTTCTGCCATGGTAGCTATCAATGCTTTAACATATGCAGCTGAATGAATATGTTGAGTGCACTTGGATCTTGGGAGGCCTGCTCATCACTGGTGTGATGTTGGGAGCTTAGTCCTTCCTATTATCACCATGCTTGAAATTTCAGCAGTTGGGTCCCTGTCTGGCCAGCAGGTGGCAGCATGGTAGAAGGCAATATCAAAATGATCTTGTTTGAACAAGACTTCAAAAGTTTCTAAAATGCAATTTTCTTCCTTCTTTCAACACTAAACCTGTTCAGTGCAGTTTCTCTAATATTAAGATGTCAATATAAAGTAATGGGGATTCAGGATGCAGCCCTCACAATCAAGCATGTGGCCCAGCCTACTTTTGAGTACAAGCTTCTTTCCTCTGAGATTAAATAGCTCTCTGTAAAATCTGAGTTGCAGCGAAGTGTGGGGGCATCTATACATGCAATTATCATGTAGCAATAAACTCAGGTGCAGTTCACGCTGGAGTTTATTGCTCCTGGGCGCAGCGTTTACGTGTGCACCCGTGACTGCAGCATGTTAAGTTGGAGTGGAGCAACCCCAGCTGGCAAGGTGTCTGGTGGGGTCAGCCTGCCAGCCCAGAGCTTTTCCCCGTGGCTCAACATGCAGAGGGGTTAGCTGAAGCACATGGGTACTACAGTGAGGGGCTTGCTGGTAGGTGGATTCTGCACTATAGCACCCTTGTGCCCCAGCCAGCCCCATCACTGTCCACACATGCGTTTTGCTGCATGTAACTACTCTGCTGTAGGATAGTACTTGTTCCAGACAGCACTATCCTACATCTGACTTAATTAGTTTACTGTGCCCTAACATAGGTGCATGTATAGACGGTGATCCTTTACTGCGGAGCTAATTAGCCAGCTCTGCAGTAAAGCACATGTGTAGGTGCACCCTATATGTCCAGGAATAGACAGTTGTACCTTGCCTCTCTGATTTTACTGTCTCAGTGCAGAATTGGCAAAGTCTTGCTGAAGGTAAGTGTGGGTTGGGTTTCCCAAAAGGTTGAGGTAGCAGGGACATGAGCGTTTGTAGCCTCCTGAAATAGCACTCTGCCAACAGGTTTCAGGGCCAAGCTCTAAGCTTCTCCACAGTGCTGCATGTGTTAATTCATATGACTAACTGACTTGGTGAAGTTTGCTCATAGTCTGGAACCACCCTGGCCTGCAAACTGTTATCATCCTCTCATCCTTGAACTTCTTGCAGATTGCTGGTGTGACTCACTTTTCTCTGAGGGATGTGAGACCTGTTCAAAGTTGGAGCTGTTGTTCAACTACCCCTCTGCCAAAGGCTGCAGATTCTGCCTTGCGGACAAAAGCTTGTTGTCCTAAATTCCTTTTCTCAGGTGGAGAGAAGGTGCTCATGCATTTCATACAGGAGTCACCTGGTGATTATGTTCCCTTGGAAAAAATTGTCAAGAGCCTTGGTATCTCTGCAAATGTGGAGGGTGTGAAACCTCAGGTGAGGCACTTAGTTCTTCTAATGGTGGAAACTGAGCTGTTAAAATGAAGGAATTGACTATGGTAAAAGTTCCCTTAACTTTACCTAGTGACATTTTAAATGACCATAATGTTGTGCCAACACAGCAAACTAACTGTCCTTCTGTTACCTGCATAAGGATTATCCTGTAAAGCCTTGTAAAGTAGGGTTTCTGACCGCTGCCATCAGGAAAAGTCTCTTCAGCTTATGTATGCAGGAATGTATCTGCTGCTAGAAGCAGTAACTTTTATAACTTTTGGAGGTGGCAGTAGTCTTACTGTAACTCAGACATACTATTGCATGGTGCAGTCAGTAGCTGGCAGCACTGTTCTCACCCTTTTCTGTTTATACGACAGATGTTTTACTGTCTTTTCTGGCTAACACCTGCATCTTATGGCTTGAGTGCTCTTTGGTCCGTAACTCCGTTCTGGGTCTTCAAGCACTGTTTGAGTTCAATAGGCTTGTGAAGGCTTGCAGATGGAAGAGACCTCTGAACACTTTTAAAATGAATGCAGTACTTCAACACAGGCATTGGTAACTGACCCTGGTGAACAAGCAATTCATCTTCTGCCAGTACAGAACCTCACTAAAGGGGTAATGGTAGGAGCTCTCTTCAATGATATTTTCCCAAGGTGAGTAGTTAGAGTGAAGAGCCTGGGCTCCATACGAATTGGTTTACAGCCGAACAAGTTTATGGAAACAAGGTTCTTGTCCTTGGCTCATCTGCTCAGCAGGCCATTGGTCTGGAGGCTCTTTTGCTGTGTGGGAGTCATGACTCTGTCACAGTCCGGTGGAAGTAGGGAACGTGCTCTGCCCATGTGAATTATTGCAGGGAGGCCGAGTTCCAGCATTCCTGCAAGGCAGCCTGCTCTGGTTGATGGCATGGACTCTTCCTGTGCAGAAATCTTGGCATTTTGCAAGGTTGATATCTTCTGAAAGAGGCCCTGGCTTTGCTCTCCCTTGAGAAAAAGCAATTTCTTTGCAAAACTAGGTCACAATCTTGGTAGCATCCTCTTATAAACCCTCCTGATTCTGCTGGGTGCTGTATTTATAAATCAGCAAGGGCTGGAAAGGATGAGGAGACCAGACCCTTTGTAATCATACTGATATATTGTATTAAAGTAATTCCATCTTGTATCACCAAAAGGTGCCTCTGCCTGCACGGTGGCACCTAAGCAGATATGTGATCATTGATCAAAGAGTAATTGAACTACCATGGACAAGTTGGTCTCACATTCCCCCTGCCCACACTTCCAGTTTTCAGTGAACTCCAATAAATCCTAAATGGACACTTGCCAATTATTTGTAGACTGGGGAGGAAGCAAAGCAATGACTATAGAAATCTCTTTGTCTGTGATGCTTATGTCAAGTAAGCGTGATGTGGGCAGGATTAAGGTTCCTTTGCCATTTGCTTCTGCCTGCAAGGTCTGTTAATCATTCCTGATTTCTGAGGCACTGGATACTGCCTACTCTTGGCTTTATCCAGCCCCTTGTGTGTGTAGTAGGTAGTGGTTGAGCTGAGGAACAGCCTTACAAAACAAGCCATGGCTGCAGATTAAAAGCAGTACTGTTGCAATAACATCTCATACGTGCCGAAGCAAGGTTTTTCTAAATTTAAAGAGGAGAGAAATAACAGCTTGTCATGAGCTTTGCGTGCAGAAACTCTTCCTCCCACCCTACAACCTGCAGTATGTGTAAATAACAACTCACGGGCTCCCCATTAATCTCGCAAATGTCATTCTCTTAAACGAGGGGAAATATTTTCCATGTCATCCTCCTTAGATCCTTGCTTGCGCAGTAATGGTTTTTAAAATATTTATATACCACTTCTGAAGTTGGAGGGAATGCCATGAGACAATCAAACTTTGTGTGTCTGCTATTGAATGTAATGAAAACAATATTGTACGTGGGGTAAAATGGGGGAAGAGAACAAAACACAGAAAGTAGCTGGTTTTCTACTCGGGAATCATTTTCAACTGGCTAACCTGGTTGCCTTTTCCATGACAGTTCTTGTGTGCAGTGCAGGGAAAAGCTGCTGCTAAATATGGGGTTTGGGGAGCAAAGGTTTGGGGTAACACTAAACTTGGAGAGCGAATATCAAAATTCAGGATCAGGCCTAGTAGTGGATCCCTCCCAAAGCGTAAGGATGGATGGCTAGTGTGGACTTGATGCTGATCTCTGCAGACCTCCCTTCTACTCTGGGATTCACTTCTCCACAAGCCTGTAGGTGTAACTTGAAAGGGAACACATCCCCGAGCAGGAAGAAACCTTCAAAGACTTGGCACTAGCCTGACTCTTCTTCCCACAATGCAAGTACTCCTGGCGTTCCCACTGTTAGCGCACATCTCAGGGGCTCCTCAGACCTTCACTGAGGGTGTGGGGAGGGATGCATGTGCTGCTGCAGCCCAGGGCCCCCTTTTCTCACCTTTCATGGTAAAGAGGGTTGCCTGGTGGTGCCTCAGGGGCTGTTCTGTTTTTGCTTCTTCACTAAAAATGGCTGTGATAGGGCCTCCGTTGCTCCAGCCTCTCGTCCAAGATGAGACAGCTGGTTACAGCTCCCTCTGGCACTAAGCAGCAGTGCTGTGTCCTTCAAGGGGTTACCATGATATTCTGCCATTCCCCTTTTGGCAACTATTGGGGTTTGCTGGAGTTGGTACTAGTGCAGACGGTGAAGTAGTTAAGCTGATGCAGCAAGGGTGGGGATAACCTGGCACCTTCCTCTGAGCTGCTTCTCAAACCCTTTGGTAGGGAGGAACCTGTGACCAGCCTTGGGTACCAGCAGCTTGCCCAGAATGACAAATCTGCAGAAAACAGGGAGTAGCGAATCCTTGAGTTCCCGGTCCCTTTCTGGCTCCCAGAAAACACCCTCCTGTGCATTTCATTCCCTCATCTTGGGCACTACAGGTTATTCCTTCAGGCTCCCAACAGTCCTCATGCCAGCCTCTTTCTGCTGCCTCTGCCTGGAGGAACTGGACAGCAAGATTCCCTGTCACCTCACTCCTAAATGTCCATAGGTCACTGAGCCGGTGCCAAAGTTGGATTTTCTTTGGGAATGGAGTGCACAGCAATGCAGTTTGTCTGTTAGTAAGCAGCTTTTTGGGGTTTCCATAGCGTTAGCCTATTGCAGCAGAACTTTTAAATTGCTAGTAATATTCCTACCATCCAGAATATAAGCTCAGGGTATAACCTGTTGAGATAAAAACCCTTTTGGTTGCAGATAACATGAGTGAAAAGAGGAAGCATCCAGCAGTATGCTGCAAAGGCACTAGAGTTTTACTTCCATCTAAAAATCTCAGCACACCTGACTACTAAGCCAGCTTCTCAGTGCCCTTTCACCATTGGCAGCTGGCTGGGAATAATATACAATGGCTGGGAATAATATACAATGGCTCCATTCACCTTCCCTTATTCTGTCCTGTGGCTTTGTAAGGTGAAACTCACTGGAGATACTCTCCTTGCTATCCCTGCCTTTTCCAGGGTGAACAACAGCCTTAGCGTGGCAACATCCACAGAGCTCTTGGCTAACAGAGGAAGGTATTCTTAGCGTAAAAATGGACATCATTGCACCAAAGCAGATCAGCGGTGGTGGGACATATTCTGCCATAGCTGATCAGCTTTATTGGGCAACGCACACATTGCCCCTTTTCCTGCGGGGGAACCCCTGCCTGATGTGGGAGAAGGAACGATGTGGCCCCTTGCCTGGGGATTTCCTGGGTCCCCTGCTGCCCTGCACTGGATCCTGTGCTGACCCATGCCTCATGTGGAGGCACAGGTCTGTATGGGTGCTGGCACAGGGCAGCGAGGCAGCATGGGAGGTGAGGAATCCCCAGTGCTCCATGCCTCTTTGCAGGGACCTGTACATGCTTCCTCTGCTTAGAGGTACACCCCAGGCAGCTTTGTAAATGAGGAAACACAAGCATGTGCTCTGGGGGCTTGATGGGCCTGATCTGACCTGGGGTTCACAGGATTGGGCCTTTCAAGCCCTCAAAGCACTTATCGGGGTGGCAGGAGACTGTGGGCAGCTCTGGGCTGCCTACACTCTGTCACTGCAGAGCAAATAGACACCAGCCACAAAAAAGCAGCACAATTTATTAGTACCCTTTGTTGTGCCACATTGGGTAAGGACTATTTGTGCAGCATTTGTGCCGCCATAACAATTTTTATTGTTATGCGGCTTCTGTTTCTATTCTTCGGTTCATAGAGGTACCAATGGGGTTAAGACAATGTTGAGGTTTGTGTGGGATTGTAAAAGCACGATGTGCTCGCTTGTCTGCAATGCTTGGTTGTGTTGGCACAGACGCAGGCTGACAGATGGAAAGATTCTTCTGCAGGTGGGAGGCTTAATAAACTTGCCTGAAAAATAAAGAAGTAACTTCCATGTGCTTGGAACAAAACCTTTCCAGACATGTCTTAATCATCCCGGTAACTATGGCATGTGCCAGAATTGCTAATGGCACTTTTCTGCAAAATTGTTATACTCTGAAGTAATTAAACTGTCAAGCAGACAAACTCCCACCTGACCTCACTGTGCTTCTCAAGCGCTTCCTTTGGTTTGGTACATGGATAATGTTGTTTCTGGTCTGAATTAGTTAATGCTAAGTGGCTGCTGGTACTGCATAGCAACCAAATGAGTCTTTGGAGAGGCAGATTCCTGCCATACCCCTTCTAAGCCCTTTAATGGATAAGTAAAGACTCTCGAAGCACCAATGCAGCCAGAGTGCTGACCTCCTGTGTTTGTTACCACTGCCTGCAATAAACTTGCCCTACTGTAATCATAGCCCCATTTTGCATGATAGCCCAATTGCTGACCAATGTGAATAAAGGCCACTATTGTAACTACAGCGATGCACCCTGTTATGATTGTTCATGGCAGCACATAGCATACATGGAAGTAAGAATCCTCTGAATATGAGGACTCTGACAAGGGTAAAGTCTAATGCTTCAGCTCCAGTACTTGTATTTTTCTTTTGCTAGGCTTCTGTACTAAACAGGAGCCAGTGCCTAAGTTTGTAAGTATAACCCACTCACTGCAGAGTGTCTCTCTTCTGTGCACAGCTCCTATCACTGATGAGGTATGTAGGAGAAACGGTAGACCCTACACCACCACAGGTGCTGTGAGTCACAGACGAGCTCTCCTCCTTTAGAGCTTGCAAGTAAATGAATTGATGCGTTGGATCTGATCATTAGCTTACAGACAAAATTCACATTGCCAGGTAAAGCTAACGCACACGCTTATCTCCTCATGGATTCATTCAGTGCCAATAAACTAACCTGTCAAATAGCAGAGTACTTCAGTGAAACACTTATCCCCTGAGAGTATAGGTGAAGCTGCTACTGGGAATCCCTTCATTTCCTTCCATAGTCCTTCATGATTTAATGAAGTATGAGGGTGTTTATGTTTCCTCCATTTTAACCCAATGGCTTTAAATGTTAAGACTGTTCCAAGCATTTTGAGAGATTATGGCAGTTTATTTGGTTAATAAATCTTGCTTACTACATGGACACTTCAACATGAAAAATAGAAACTTTAACAATACTGACATTGGACATGTAACAGTCACATAAAATTAGAATTTAGTTAATCAAAGCTTTTTTTAGTTATGTGTTAAGTAGAGTGGAAATGAATCAACAGTTTGCTTTGATATCTGATAAGCTAAGCATTACCAAATGCTATTAAAGAGAATTAAGAACTTGCTTTCCAGTGGTATATATGGCAAAAATAAATATTTTTGGAAAAAAATGCTTGCATCCTACATCAAGGATCAAAAAACTTCAGATACCTGTTACCCTTAAATTAGAACATTCATTAAAGAAAGCAATCTGAAATTGCTTCTATAGATAAATGCCTGAGTAATTGGCTGCAGTGTGATTTCTTTATTTATTTATAAAAAATTAACAAGATGTACATTTTCAAAGTGTAAATATTTAAAAGTAGCTTATGGCAAAATTAAAAGGCACGGAATTAATTTTGTTCTCGGGTAAGTGTTTTGCTGTTTACATTAAGCAACAAAGTCTGTTCTGCTAAAGTATCCCAAATATATACTCTTAATGCAAGAATATGTCTCCTCTTAAATATATTTCTGAATGGAGGTACCCACGGTAGTCTGAATATGGCAATAGACGTTAGACTTTTAATTATGATTTCGTTTTCTAGCAACCATTATATCACTTTGTTAAGATAATGTTAAACTTGCTCATTTGAGCAAAATAACTCATGTGCAAAACAAGGGGTTCAGCGTGGCTTATAAGTCAGCAGCCGGTAAGCATTTTAACGTACAGATCACCTTGTAAAATATCAAGACAAATTACAACCTCTTACAACAAAGCAGTCGTCAAGGTGCAAATGGACAGTGTTACACAGACAGCAAGTAAGTTTAACTATCTCTACCCTGAATTTGGGAGAAGTGCACCAGAAACTGAATCAGAATATTGGAAAATAGCGAGCTCAGTGAACAGTCTCAGACAGGCTTACCGAACCTCCCAAGGCTAATTTGAGTGTAGGACATACTAAAATGAATACTCTTTGCTGAAAAATAGATCTACTTTTTTTGTTTAAATAGCTAGTCTTTGTAACCCTGATGTGGTATTTTAATAACAGTCAGGATGTCATTGGAAACAGTCATTTCTCTCCTGGAGTGTACTGTCACTCTCAATGCAGCCCAGCTGTCAATGCTGAGAAGCCTGCACACATTCCAGCCAAACCACGAAAGCCCGACAGCCGTGGGCTTTTTAAAATTCTGACCACAGTAGTTGCACCATTAACCTTGGCTGTGACTGAACAGGAAAACATCAGGCACATCATTGGCGAGAACTGTTCAGTCTGTAGCCAGACCAGTTGAATTTTGTTTTGTGTTGTAGACTGTGCGTCTAAGCATTATCTTCAGCACAAGTGTTCTCTTTGGCTACCAGACTCTGCATTTCTCGGCAGGGTGCATGGTCGTGCCCTTTTTACAGTGGAATGCCTCAGAGAAGGCTTCAAAGTTTTGCAAAGATCCCATCACCCTGAACAAAGAGAAAGAAAAATGTTTTATTTGCATCCAGGTAGGAGAGAGAGTCCAAAGGAAGGACAGTAATAAAGCCTATACTTAAGTGGATCAGAGCCAGATGTCTGCAATAAGGCCACAAACTGCAGATAATCAGTAAGAGATGGTCTCTGCCTCAGTGTCTAAGGCTAGGATCTTGCCATTAACTGTGTGGAGCCTGATTGCAGCTCCATTGGGTTCGGTGGGTCCCTCTGTACCCTGGATCATTGCAGGATTGAGACCTCAAGCAAGAAGCAACATTTGGTTTGCTGTCTCAGTGGCTTGACTAATGCTAGGACCAAGACCAGATCTGCAGGGGAAATGGAGTGAGGCACCACAGCAATTCTTTAGCAAGGATTTGGGTAGAATTTATAGCACTGGGAGCTTATGGAAGCCTCTCATCCAGATTGTGCTCAGGATGAGGTTGGCTCCATGTTGGTACTATGCAGGAAGGTGGCAGGAAGGAAGTTTAGGCTACCATTATTGCACTACCTGTTCCATAAAGTAAAAGCATCTCCCTCTGGTACTTGCAAGGAGCAGGTATCCAGTGTGTAAGCAATGCTATTGTGTGCATTCCCACTACAGTCCCTGCTCCTGCTGTCAGCCTGGATGGGTCAACACCTGGGCTTGCATGCATCTCCCAGTGAAATGCAGGGAGTTCCCGGCAGATTTGTAATTTCCTCTTTGTTACCTCCTTTACTTCCACAATTCCTCCCTACATGTGGGCACCCGCCCTGCTACTGCTGCCTCTAGGGCACATAAAGCCAGCATCTCCAATCTTCATTAAAATGGTGCATTTACTATCAAGGACTACATTTGGGGGCTAATTGGAGAAAAAGTAACATGGGTGTTGCAGTTTGGTTTATGGCTGAATAAAAGAGAAGGCCTAAGTAGGGGCTCAGTCCACTGTGCAACAGCATTATAAGCCCTGATGGGCCCTAGACGTGTATGTCTTACAGGAGCAGCCTAGTTCTCTAAGCTGGGTAAAAGACCATGTTTCTTTTCAGGAGTGTCAGAGGTGGTAGGATTCTCCATAGAGCCAATTAGTTTTATTGTGCTTAATCACTAGAACATGGCCCCTTCTTCCAGTATGCTGCAATAATGGGCTGGATCAAAAGATAAGTCCATCTAAGTTATTAAAACCTACCTGTACTTCAAAGGGCTGTGGACATCTGTCTTAATGGACTGGCTGGCATATTCTGGCCTGTAGGAACCACACCATACCTAGAGAAGGAAGAGGATTAACCACCCATGCGCCAACATGTAGCTAAACTGGTGCAAGCAATTGCAACTTGAGTGGCTCAGGGGTGCACCTAATTGTACTAGGGTGGGGATTGCAACTTGTAATGCAAAGAGCCCAGAATGGCTTTTGCTGCTTACATGTATATTATACATTAGTCATCACACTCCAGGTGATGTAAATGCCTTTTGCAGGGGTGGTTGCTGCTTCTCCTGAACACCTCTCCCTTTCTCTGGATTAGTTCTAAAGGATTTTTTCTAAGAACCATCCTACCTTTTCACTACAAACTCAGTTTGAGTTATTTTCTACCTTGGGCTGAGAAGGAGGTGGAAGAGAATATGAATTCCTACTAGCCTGTTCAGGGATAGCCTCAGCTTCTTGGACCTAGGATCTGTTGCTTTAGACTAGATGTTTTGGCTCTTGAATGATGATATTGCATCATCATGTCTCAAAGGCAGCAATTTCACTTCCAAGATTCCCACTAAAAACCACTAAATAACTCCCTGGTAGGCTTGGTCTTTTTTGTCCTCTCTGCCGTAACAATCAAGCCCCCCTATGCCTTTGTTCCGAGGGACACCCTGTTGATAAGTGCTGTCAGTAAGTGGCAGCTTCCTACTGGAAGTGAGGCCTGTGGATAGTCCAGTGTTTTTTGTGTCCAAATTAGCAATTCATCATATGATTTCTATGTCTCATGTAACAGAGGAAGAATCAAGAGGTTCCTACCTGGGCGAAGTTCACAAAGAAAAGCTGTTTATGAGTCAGATTAAGCCCAGGCAATTTTGGCTCCTTCCCTTCTCGTTCCAACCATTTTAAATAGGCCTAAAAAACGACCAGAGGTTCATTTAGCAAAAAGCCTACTCATTCAAACATGCTGAATACTTTGAACCTGCTTGTTCACACAGCCAGAACATTCTCGTTCCCCTTCCATTTCCCCTTGGGCACTTTCACAGTCAGTTGTATTGCAAAGGAACAATTTATAAGGAACCTTTCATCACTGTGCTGGACCAGTGGTTCGGTAGCAGGCTACAAGACTCTTTAGGAAACCAGAAAAATACCAGATCCAAGTGAATATGCAGGTGGAATTGAAGGTCACAGCACGTAATTATCTAACTGCATGTTTGGGTAGAATCTGGGTTAACAGCTCTGCGCTTATCAAACATGACCTGTTACAGTGGTCATGAATAATCAGGAGCTTTGGTTTGAGTTTTTTCAGGAAGATGGCACTCTACCCCCTCTTCCCTTCTCCCCCCTTGCACAGCTCCCTGTCCAGCTGTTGTTTCACTGTACAGTCCTCAGCAAACAAGAAGGATAAATGTGGGGCACTGCTACTGAAAAGTCCTTATTAAAGTACATCTGATAATCCACACGGCATCAATGTAGACATCTTCAACTGCACACCATTGATTGTGATGTGAAACACTAGGATAGTGGCAATGTGCCTTAGATGACCTCTGTATGAACACAGAGCTGAAAGGGAAGCAGAGAGTTAAATCTCCTCCATGCATCTATACTGATAATTTCTGTCTCTTCTGATAAATGCTTCTAAAATAGCAGATAATAACCTGGCACAAAGTTAAATCCATTACCTGTTACTATTACATGTTAATTGGCCAATTTTCTTTTTTTAGGTCTATTGACATAATGGAGACAATTAATGAGTTTCATGCAAGTTAATTCTGAACACTGTATTACCTTATCTTCACCCTCACTTTGATAATACCTCCAAAAAACTTTTAAGGCACAATTAAGTGTGGAAATACACTTATTCCATGCCATAAAATTACAGAATATACAGTAGTAATGGCTCCCATGCACAATCTCCCATGTTTACAGCATATTTCAGAGTAAAGGGAATGGTACATTTTAGTGGCATCCACAGTAGTCAATCCACTTGTACTTCTGAATGTCAGAGTTACACACGTGTGTCAAACCACACTCCTTCCTGTCCCAGGTTGCAGGGACAGAAGTATATCCCATAGCACAATGGCCCAAAAATGTTTTATGGGAATACTTACATTCCACACCTGGACAGAGAAGCAGCGTTTGCATTGGTGCATATGGCATTCTGATCGCACAGCATCTGATCAAGTGAACTTGGGCTCAGGAATGCTCATGATATACATCTCTGATTTAGTTATTTTATAAGGTGCAAATCTACTTTGCCTTCATTCTGATCTGCAGATGTTTTGTGTGGGAACCTGACAGGTTAGAGATGCAACCAGGCTCCCAGCTACAGCAGGAGATTTGAGCAAGATATAGAATGAGGTACCTAATGTACCCAGGGAAGTTCGACAGCAAAGGCCAAGTTCTTCCACTCCCAGCAGGATGGGAATGTGAGTAACGTTACGTGTATCCTCTCTTCCTTTGAAAAGAATTTATTCGATTAGCACATCCTTTTATCTTGAGAAGAAGGGGCAGACAACTGCTCTCAGAATAAATAGTGAGTGCTATCCTTATTGTGCTCAGTAGCAACATGGAAAATGAGCAGCAATGGGATGGAAAAAACTTCATTATCATTGATTTAAAGGTTAGAAGACATGTGAAAAAGAAGCTTCAGAAAAGGCTTAGTATAGCTTGGGATTGGATTCAGCTGTGACATGGGGTGCAGAGGTTTCTGTAGATAGGATCTGTGGCTGGCTTAGGAGGAAAGCAGCCTCTCTCTATCAGAACCCTCTGATGCTGTATCTGACATATCACTAAGCTTAAAAACTTAAAGTGTAAGGGAAATGAACTTGGAAGAAGGTGGCTGCACTGCTATAAACACATCATCAAATCACATTGTGGGGAAACTAACAGTCTGCTGCCAGATAGGATTTGATTTGACAAGCAGTTTGAAGCTATAGCAACAATCTTGGTGCACGTGACTTTGGGGAATCTCTCATCTTTTTTTCTACATGGATCTATGCCTGCTTCTTACTTCATATTTTGTACAGCACCTAGCACACTGGGGCCCAGGATTGTGGTTTTGGTCCATACATCATTGCAGTACATGTTATGATGGTGATAGGGGTGATGGTAGCTGCAGTCCTGATTTTACAATTGGAGCCACATGGCCACAAGGGATTCCTTGCATTAGTCATTTATATAGTGTTACACAAGGCTGTGCATTGACTTGTATGAATCAGGATGCATTGGGAAGGTACGCAGCTCCTTGCCGGAGTCCGGGTGACATACCTGTAGCTCTTAGCACATCCTAACAATAAAAGTAAGGGACAAGCCAGTTTCTCATCTTATTGCCAGTAATGACTCATTACTTCTTTGAAAATTACCTTGTAAGCCTGTCGAACTCCTCCATTATCTGCAATGTTTTCTCCCAGTGTGCTTATCCCACTGACCTGTGATACACAATTAATTTGATTACCGTATTTGTTTGTAATACCAGAAGGAAGTCAACTGAATAGCAACAGAAGCACTGTGTTTATTACTGAGATAGGGCCCCCTCTGGGGCGGAAGATGGCAGATATACTGCACTGGGAGTGAGGCAAAGGAAAATCTGAAAGGAAATAATACCCCAGATCACTGGAACAGCAGGGTTTTCCAAAATAGCAACCAGAACAGGAAAAGAGCAAGAGCAAATGTGGGCTGACAGAGTTATGTCCTTCAGTAGACACTTAACAAATGAGTTTTTTTTCATGTGCAACCTGCAAGAGTGGCAGGAAGCATCAGCACACATATCCAACAGCTAGTAATACCTGAGAGCTGAAGACTAATCTGTTATTACTGTATCAGGTAAACCTTATTGGTCTTTTAGCCTACCCTGGTGTCCTCTGGTTAAGAAGCAGGCTTTCTCTGTTGTATTTCTAGGTCACCCATCACCTTGATATCTGGTCCTTTCTGTTCATAGAATACAAGAGCCCTCTACCTACAGCCTCTCTCCTTACAGCTGCTATCACATTAGAAATGATGTAGCTAAAGGAACTGGTTTTAAAGGCCATCACCTGGGATGGGCCCGGGGGGGGGGGGGGTCATGGGGGGTGGGGGGGGGCCCTAATGTAGACAAACA